TTTATCTATTTTGGTAGGGGATTGTTTGAGGGATGAAAGGGGTTGACGCTTGTTTTTTTGTAAATGTTTGTGCTGTCCTGTGTCAGGGGAATTACACAGTGCAGCTGCTCCTTGTATATTGGAAAGCTTCTTTGTCGTAAGCATTGTTACTGAGGATAATTCTTCAGGAGAAATATGAAAGCTTGTGTCATGAGGTAATTGAACATACAGGAAATTAGGATATTGCAACTGTCACTTCTATGGAAGGCCACATAAAAATGTACTGCACTTAAGCCTGTTCAAAGCTTTGGTTTTTATAAACAAACTCCTTATTTGTGTGGTGTTAAATGGGCAGCATTTTTTCCTGATTCCATTCTGCTTCTTTGTTTTATTTTCTCTAATAGCGTGATTGCCTTGTACTGGGTGATCTCCTCAGGTGAGTTCAGTTTATTTTTTCTGTGTAGAGATATTTCCAAGTACCCCTTCAGTTCTGCATGGATAGAATTATAGCTCAAGTAAATTCATGATAAATCCAGGAGAACAGATGAGGGGAATTCCATCTGATATTATGTACTTTTAGGTAAAGTTTTGCTACAAAATAAAGTATGCAGGATTTTATTTTTAAAGATTTTTTTTATTTGAGAGGCAGAGTTACAGCGCAAGATCTTTCATCTGTTAATTCACTCCCCACATGGCTGCAACAGCCAGAGATGAGCTGATCCAAAGCTGGGAGCTTCTTCTGGGTTTCCCCCATGGTTACCGGGGCCCGAGCACTTGGGCCATTTTCCACTGCCTTCCTAGGCCATAGCAGAGAGCTAGCTCAGAAGAGGAGCAGCCAGGATTTGAACTGGTGCGCATATGGGATGCCAGAGTCGTAGGCGGAAGCTTAGCCCACTACACCACAGTGCTGGCCCCCAGGACCCAGCATTTTAATGAGTTAGGATGTATATATGGAGATTTTTGTGGATTTCAGAGAGAAATAACATGAGCTTACTCTCTTGGTGCTGGCATTGGGTGTGGTAATTTGAAATTCCTCCCATGGAATCATCTTTGAATTAGTTTCAAGGTGCATGAGGTAATCTTTGTTAGGTTAAAAAACTGAAAAGTAGAAAATTACTTCCTCACTTTGAGCTTTCCTCAGCCTTTTAAAGACCACTTACATCCTTTGCATGTACATGTGGCCATGTGATGGGTTTCATGTGCGTCACATGGTAGGCATGTGACATCTATGTGGCAGTTTGATACTTACTGAAATGCAGTTCTTGATGAGTTAAGAGCTCTGTTGTCTTTGCCTGATAGTGGCGTACTTTTCTGTTCTTTGGAAAACAGAGTTGACTCTTGGGAGACCTCACTTTCCTTCATCCTGGGTCTGGAAGGCTGTGTTTATTGTAGTTACTGCTGTGCTTGTACCCTAGCCTGTACATGCTGGAGAGTTAGAGAAAACCCACTATAAACATCCTGGCTTTCATCAAACGTTCTTTCCAGAGATGAGGACCCACGCACTGGTTGGTCCAAAACAGGAGAAAGGAGGTTCTCATTGGCATTTGTATACAGTCTCTTCTTAAGTTTTCAGGGCCAGGATCTACAAACTTGGTGCTGTGAGATCGCTGTCCTTCATCTGCATGGCCACTCACAGTGGGGAGTGTGACACAGGCTGGCTGAGGCATGTGGCCTTCCTAGACCAGGAGTGAGCTTACTGTCCATGAAAGACACATGAGAGCATGGGTAGTTTTTAATTTTAACTTACTCTATCTTATTTAAATTTTAGTTCAGTGTGTTTTCCACAATATCTGGTTTAACTAAAACACTTTCATGTTCATAATGCAGTTTTAATCATGCTATTTGCAGTGAACAAATGAGATTAAGAGCTCCATACTGTTAGTGTTTAATCTGTGGAACAGAATTTGGGGTATGGAATACCATCTTTAGAAATGGTTACTTTGGGGCCAGTGCTGTGGCGTCGCGGGTTAACGCCCTGGCCTCCAGTGCCAACATCCCATATGGGCACCAATTTAAGTCCCCACTGGTCCACTTCCAATCCAGCTCTCTGCTATAGCCTGGGAAAGCAGTAGAAAATGGCCCCAAGTCTTTGGGCCCCTGCACCTGCGTGGGAAGACCGGGAGGAAGCCCCTGGCTCCTGGCTTTGAGTGCAGCTAAAGCCATTGCCACCAGTTGGGGAGTGAACTAGCAGATGGAAGACCCCTCTCTCTCTCTCTCTGCCTCTCCTTCTCTTTGTGTGTAATTCTATCAAATAAATAAATAATTTTTTTTTTAAAGTGGTTACTTCATCTGTTTGCCACTTGAACTTCAAGATCTTTTATTTACTTGAGAGGTAGAGCTAAAGACAGAGAAAGGTAGAGGCAGAGAGAGAGGTGTTCCATCCTCTGGTTTACTACCCAGATGGCTACAATGACCTGAGCTGATCCAAAGCCAGGAGCCAGGAGCTTCTTCCAGGTCTTCTACACAGGTGCAGAGGCCCAAGCACTTGGGCCATCTTCTGCTTTCCCAGGCCATAGCAGAGAGCTGGACTGGAAGAGGGGCAGCCAGGACTCGAATTGATGGCCGTATAGGATGCTGGCACTGCAGGTGGCGGCTTAACCTTATACACCACAGTGCTAGCCCCTGGTCACATGTTTTCTATTCTGGAATTTTCATTGGTTATTCAAATCTTCTAATTATGGACACATATTTTCTACAATTTCTTGCTAAAAATACATTACCATCAACTTTCATTTTTAAAAATAAGGTCATCAATATTATATTAAAACTCAGATGGATGTGTCCAGGAGCTGAATGGCTAGAGCAAGTGGTGATCTTTAATATATCATTAGAATTAGAATATAAATATTTTCTCCCTGAGATGGACAGAGTGTTTCTGAATCATGGTGTTCTAGTCAATTTTTAGAATTTTCCAGCTTTCCATTTTCTCTTAAGTATTGTAAAATGATATTTAGTATGTATTTACTGGCCGGCGGCGTGGCTCATTTGGCTAATCCTCTGCCTGTGGTGCTGACATCCCATTTGGGCGACAGTTCTAGTCCCGGTTGCTTCTCTTCCAGTCCAGCTCTCTGCTGTGGCCCGGAAGGGCAGTGGAGGATGGCCCAGGTCCTTAGTCCCTGCACCCCCACTTCATCTGCAAACATGGGTAATTTGATAGCCTCCTTCCAATTTATACCCCTTTGATTTCTTTTTCTTGCCTAATGGCTCTGGCTAAAACTTCCAGAACCATACTGAATAGCAGTGGTGAAGGTGGGTATCCTTGTCGGGTTCTGGACCTTAGTAGAAATGCTTCCATTCAATATGATGCTGACAGTGGCTTTGTCATATGTTGTCTTGATTGTGTTGAGGTATCTTCCTTCTATACCCAGTTGGTTAAGCTTTTTATCATGAAAGGATGTTGTATTTTATCAAATGCTTTCTCTGAATCTATTGAGATAATTATATGGTTTTGTTATTACTTAAAATTTTTTTTTATTTTAACTAATTTTTTAAGATTTGAAATTATTTGTAGATACAAGTCTAAGAACATAACATCTTGTAGAGTCTCCCCAAAGTTCTCCTCCACCATCTTCAGGTCATAGATTTAGATCCTTGATCCATTTTGAGTGGATTTTTGTGTAAGGTGAAGGTCTTGTTTCATACTTCAAGTGGAGGTCCAGTGTCACCAGCATCATTTGTTAGACTGTCTCTGCTCTGGGGATTGATATTACCTCCTTTGTCAAAGATTAGTTGGTTGTAGATGTGTGGATTCATTTTGGGGGATCCTGTTGGTCTACATACCTATTTCTGTGCCAATACCAGGCTGTTTTGATTGTAACTGCATTATAGTATATCTTGAAATCTGGTGTTTTGATGCCTCAAGATATGTTTTTGTTTTCTAGGATTGCCTTAGTTGTCCAGCGTCTCTTATGTTTCCATATGAATTTTAGCAATTTTAGCATCTTTTTTTTCTAGATCTGAGAGGAATGTCATTGCTGTTTTGATTAGGATTGCATTAAATCTGTAAATTGCTTTGGGTAGTATGGACATTTTGATTATATTATTCCAATTCCTGAACATGGGAGGTTTTTCCCTTTTTTGTGTCTTATTCTGTTGCATTCTTTAATGTTTTGTAATTTTCATCATGGAGATCTTATACATACTTTCTCAGTTAAATTTATTCCAAAGTACTTAATTTTTTTTTGTAGCTATTGTGAATGGGATTGATCCCAGAAATTCTTTCTCAGCCATGACATTGTCTGTATATACAAAAGCTATTGATTTTTGTGTGTTAATTAAGTATCCTGCAATTTAACCAAACTCTCCTAATAGTTCAGTAGTCTCTCAGTGTTCAATGACCTGAGCTGATCCAAAGCCAGGAGCCAGGAGCTTCTTCCAGGTCTTTCTACACAGGGGTATAATGACTCTAAATAAAACTTACAGGACTATATTGAATAGAGTGAAAATGGGCATCTTTGGTTCCGGATAATATTGCAAATGCTTCCAACATTTACTCATTCAATAGGATGCTGGCTGTGGGTTTGTCGAATATTGCATTGATTGTGTTGAGGAATGTTCCTTCTATACCCAATTTTCTTAAAGTTCTCATCATGAAAGGGGGTTGTATTTTATCAGATGCATTCTGCATCTATTGGGATAACATGGTTTTTATTCTTCAATTTGTTAATGTAATGTATCACACTTAACAGGTTTTCATATGTTGAACCATCCCT